TTACACCAGTTCCATTGGGGAATGGAACCAGTTACACCAGTTACACCTGGATCCTCTCCAGGCTCCCCCAGAGCGTGGTGGTGGTTGGGGGGTCCCATGGGAAGGGAACCTGGGGATCCTGTGGGAAGGGAGCCAGGGGGTCCCATGGGAAGGGAGCTGGGGGGTTCCGTGGGAAAGGAACCAGGGGGTCCTGTGGGAAGGGAGCTGAGGGAACCCATGGGAAGGGAGCCGGGGGGGGGTCTTGTGGGAAGGGAATCAAGGGGTCCTGTGGAAAGGGAGCTGTGGGGTCCCATGGGAAGGGAGCCAAGGGGTCCCACAGGAATGGAGCCAGGGGGTCCCATGGGAAGGGAGCCAGGGGGTCCTGTGGGAAGGGAGCCAGGGGATCCCACAGGAATGGAGCGGGGGGGTCACACCTCGGGAGCAGCGCCCGGATGGGAAGAGCCAGGGGAGAGGGAGAGTAGGGGACGGGGAGGGTTCACCCCAGCACGTCCCCAGGGTCCCCCATTGTCCCCAAACCCAACCCCACCAGCCCCTCATCCCGCCGCCGTACCTCGAGGGACGAAGAGGAGGAAGAGGAGGAAGAGGAGGTCCCCGGGGAGCCCCGGTGCCATCTTCTTTACCCCGTTTTCTTGGGTTTTTTCCCCCAAACCCAGGGGTGGGAACCCCCCCCAGGGCTGGGCAGCTGCTCACCGAGGAATCCCCCCCCTCAACCCGAGCCTGCAGCCCCCCCTGCCACCGTCCCCAACGCCGGGGCTGGGCAGGAAAGGAGCGTCAGGGCCCTTGATTAACACCCTTGACTAACGAACCCTCCCTTCCCACAGTTCCCCTTCCGGACTTGGCGGGAAATCACCCGCCCTGGCCTTGAGAAACCCTGAAAAACCCTGAGAAACCTTGAGAAACCCTGAGAAACCCTGAGAAACCTTGAGAAACCCTGAGAAACCCTGAGAAATCCTGAGAAATCCTGAGAAATCCTGAGAAACCCTTAGAAATCCTGAGAAACCCTGAGAAACCCCGGATTTTGGGGCGCTGATGCCGCCTCGTGGGACCCCCGGGAACAGGCAGCAGGACCTGAGCCCCCCCAAGACCTCAGGGACCTCCCCGAGCTCCCCACCAGGGCCACCCCAAAACCATCCCCAGGGTGAACGGGACACAGACCCCGAGGGTCAGACCGTGACCCCAGAGGTGTTTTCCAGCCTCGGTTATCCCGGAATTCCATGGGATGAGCGGGAAGGAGCGGCCCTGGCACTGAGTGACAAGGTGGGGACGGGTCTGATGATGATCCCAGAGGTGTTTTCCAGCCTCAGTTATCCCGGAATTCCGTGGGATGAGCCACCAACACTCCACGTGCTGCCTCCACCTCCCTCCCACCGGGAAAAGGCCGGATTTGAATTCCAACCGGGATTCCTTCCTGGGATTCCTTCCTGGGATTCCTTCCTGGGATTCCTTCCTGCCAGACACACCCGGGGCCTTTGTTTGGGATGTTCGGGACCCGCGGGGGGTAAAACGGCCGCGGCTCTTCCCAAACAAAGCCCGAGGGCGGCACCCGCTGGGCACTGACCCAGTTCAGTCCAGGGAAATTAAAATAAAAATAAAAATAATTTCAAAAATTAAAAAAAATGTGTTAAAAAAATAAAAAATAAAATACATGTGTTTAAAAAATAAAAATAAAATATATGTTTTTAAGAAATTAAAAATAAAATATATGCATTTTTAAAAAAATTAAAAATAAAATATATGTATTTTAAAAGCTAAAAAAATATTTAAAAAAATAAAAAATAAAACATACGTATTTAAAAGATAAAAAATAAAATATGCGTATTTAAAAAATAAAATAGAATAGAATAAAAATAAAAATAATTTCAAAAATAGAAATATATATATATATAAAAAATAAAAAATATATGTATTTTAAAAAATAAAAAATAAAATATACATATTTTAAAAATAAAAAATAAAATATACGTATTTATAAAAATAAGGCAAAAAATAAAAATAAATATTTTTAAAAAAATAAAATAAAAAAGAAAGAGCCTTGACCAGGTTTAATCCCAGAAAATAAAAATAATTTCGAAAATAAAATAAACAAGCAGCACAATCCCCTCATGTGTTCAACTCATGTTTGCACCTGAAAACGAATTCCCAAACCTGTCAGGATCCCACACCCTGATCCCGCCAGCCCCACTCCATCCCCGCAGTTTGGAGACAAGTTTTCCATCCCAAAGTCTTCCCTCCAAACCTCCAAACCGCAGCTGGGGGTTGAATCCTTCCCAAAAATAGTGTTTCTGGTGGTTTCCATCCCAAGGAAACCCCCGGGTGGGATCCCAGAGGGCGCTGGAATTTCCAGGTGCTCCCGGAAAAACAGCTCCGGAGGGAAGGGAAGGTCTTGCTGTGGAATTAGGGGAGGTGGAGAGCGGCAGGAGTCAGGTGTGGGGCACACAAGGAGGGGCTCCAGGGCCTGAGACCGCCCATATCCTGCAGGGAATTCAGGGATTCAGCACATGGAGACCCCCAAAAAACCCTTGGAGACCCCCCCAGGGATCACCCGGTACCTCCAAGAAGGCGGTGGAGACCAGAGCGGGGTCCAGCCTCTTCCTCCGCAGGGAAGGAGGCTGTGGGGGAGATTTAGGGAGGGTGGGAGTGGGAGGGTGACCCCAAACACCCGAGGGGGACCCGGGGTCGGTGTCACCACGGAGGGGTCGGGGAGGAACCGGGACAATCTCACCCTCCTGCCCGGCTGGACCACGGAGTAGATGGTGCAGCTCCCAGGGTGCCGCTGGTACCGGGGTTCCTCCTGCTGGGGTGGAAGAAAAGTGAGTTTTGGGGGTAAAAGAGAGGATTTTGCAGCTGGGAGAAGCAGCTCCAGCCTGGGGTGTGCACAGGGAGCACGTGGGGCAGCTCCAGACCCCCCAGGAGTGACCCCAGGGGTGACCCTACCTGTTTTGGGGGACAGACCACGGCGTACACGGTGTTGGGGGCCTGGGGGGCCTCAAGGGTCCCATCCTGGGGGAGGGAAAAACCCAAGAGGGTTAAAACAAAAATACCCCCAAACAGCCAGTGTCGCTTCAAAGGCTCAGCTTGGGGTGACCAACAACCCCAAATAGGAGCCCCGTCCCTCAGGCAGTGTGGGGTTGGATATGAGGAGGAATTTCCCCATGGAAAGGGTGGTCAGGCCTTGGCAGGGGCTGCCCAGGGAAGGGGGGGGGGAGTGCCCAGCCCTGGGGGTGTCCAGGGAAGGACTGGATGTGGCACTGGGGGGACAAGGTGGGAATGGGGCACAGGGGGGGACTGGATGCTCTTGGAGGGCTTTTCCCACCTGAATTATCCTGGAATTCTGTGTGGGAGGGGGACACTCAGGGACACCCCCAGCACTCACGGGGTCTTGGCTGGTTTGGTCTTTTCCCACCTGAATTATCCTGGAATTCTGTGTGGGGAGGGACACTCAGGGACACCCCCAGCACTCACGGGGTCTTGGCTGCTTTTGTCTCTTCCCACCTCCTCGTAGATGGTCAGGGGCTCCTCCACTTGTCCGGGGGGGGCTTTGGAGGGTCAGTGGGAGACATCAGAATCCCTGGATTTGGGGGGGCTTCGGCCCTCGAGCAAAGCAAAGCAAAGTAACACAAAGTAAAGCAAAGCAAAGCAAAGCAAAGAAGAGGGAGAAAAAGGTCCCTGGGAGGTTTGATTTGTTCAGCAGCTCGGGATAAAATGGATATTCCCGAGTGGAAATTGCCCTCTGGATCCCGTGGGCTCCAGGTTTGGTTTCCTGGGGTGCTTCATCCCCCCGGGAGGGGCAGCAGGGATGGGCAAAGGCTTCTGCCCTGGGCAGGGGGGGTGACAACACCCTGTCCTTCATCCCACATCCCCCAGGGGCAGGAGAATCCCGGGAAAAGCATAAGGAACGTGACTGGAGGCAGGAGGAGGGTAGAGAGGCACCCAAACCCCCCCAGCTGCCCATCCCACCAACTCCTGCACCGAAGGACAAACCCAAACCTTCTGGGGTTTTTTTCCTTCGCTTCCTCCACCAGCAGCAGGTGACGAGCAGGAACAGGGTCAGTGCCACGGCCGAGGCCACTGCAGGCCACAGGATGAGGTGGGAAAGGTCTGGGGGGGAACCACAGAACCCCAGAAGAGTTGGGGTTGGGAGGGACCTCTGGGAATCGTCCAGTCCAACCCCTCCCCCCCGGCCAAGGAAGGGTCACCCCGGAGTGACGGGACGAGGGAATGGTTCACACTGACAAAGAACAGGTTTGGTTGGGATATTGGGAATAAATCCTTCCCTAGGAGGGTTGGGAAGGGCCTGGCACGGGTTTCCCAGATAAACTGTGGCTGCTCCATCCCTGGGAATGTCCAAGGCCAGATTGGAACAACCTGGGATAGTGGGATGTGTCCCCACCCATGGCAGGGGGTGGGACTGGGTGAGCTTTAAGGTCCCTCCATCCCAAACCATCCCATGATTCTACAACTCTCTAAATTAACACATTTGCCTTTTATATAAAAACAAAATACATAAATAAGTATATATTTATATATATATTTATTTATGTGATCTTTTTTCTTTTTTAGTGCTTCTGAGCACTGATTATTTTTTTTTTTTCTAGTGCTTCTGGGCATCGAAAATACGTTTGTTTGGGTTTTTTTTTCTCGTGACCTCTGACATCTGGGATTCTTGGGACTGGATGACGCACGTGGGGTCCCCTCCCGGCTCGGGAATTCCGCGGTTCCAGGGGGGGGAAAATCATCACCTGAGCGACAGATGCCGGCGATGTCGGCGCTGGCCACGCCCCAGCTCACGGGGTTGCTCGCGTTGCAGAGGCAGAGGGTGGGATCGGCATCCACAGGGACCCGCTGGAGCAGCCGCGGCTCGTGGTGGAGCCCCGGGGGGGCTCCCGAGGGATCCCCGCTGCAATTCCAGCTGTAGGAGAAGCTTCCAGGAGCGGGAACGGAGCAGGACAGGGAGATGTTGCACCAGCCCTGCTCCCGGTGAAGGGTCCGTGCCTGCAGCTCCGGCCACGGAATGGGATCTGGGGGGACAGGGGGGTGAGAGGGGATGGGGGGACAGAGGGACGAGGGGACAGAGGGACAGGGGGACAGAGGGACAGGGGGACAGAGGGACAGGGGTGATGGGGGGACAGGGGGACAGGGGGACAGAGGGACAGAGGGACAGGGAGACAGAGGGACGGGGGGACAGGGGTGATGGGGGGATGAGGGGACAGGGGGACAGGAGGACAGAGGGACAGGGGTGATGAGGGAATGAGGGGACAGAGGGATGAGGGGACAGAGGGACAGGGGGACAGAGGGACAGGGGGACAGAGGTGATGGGGGGACAGGGGGACAGAGGGACAGAGGGACAGGGATGATGGGGGGACAGGGGGACAGGGGGACAGAGGGACGGGGCAGTGGGGACCCGGCTGCTCACCCCACACCCGCACACAGAAGGACAGGACGGTGACAGCGCCCGATGGATCCTCGAACTCGATCTTATAGACCCCACTGTCCTCCTTCCGAACCGGGGAGATCCTCAGGGAGAGGGTCTCCGGCTGGAAAACGGCTCTCCCAGGAAAAGAACCTCTGGTGTAGGAGACGTTTCCGTCTCTCCGGGCCGTCAGGATCCGTTCCCGAGCCCCTGCACTCCTGTCCACTCTCCAGTGGATCTCTGTCCACTCCTGTTGGTGCCTCTCCGGCCGCAGCTCCAACATTCCAGCGGTGGACACGGCTCGTTCCCGGCATTCCCGGGTTCCTGAGGCAGAGTGGGATGAGCCCCAGGTGAGACTGTGAGCCCAGAGATGCTCTGTGGCCACAGGGGGACACGGCCACAGAGCCCACCCATGGTCCTGACCCCCAGCACAGCCCCTCGTGTCCCATCTCCACCCCAGAGATTCCACTCCCTCCTCGTGTCCCTTCCCCACCCCCATCCCGGGATATTTTTGCCCTCTGGATCATTTCTCTCCTCTTCCTGCTCTCACCCCCTTCTCAGAGCAGCCCCGGATGTCGAGGGCTGTGGTGGAGGTGACACAAAACACCCCCCAGACCCCGGGAACATCCGGAGGGCCGAGGGCAGTCGGGGCCTCGCCGCTTCCTGGGGGCATCTGGGGGGGACCTGGCACAGCCCTGGCTGCACATCCCACCCCTCCCATGGCTCTGCCCGCTCCCAGGGCAGTTTTCCTTTGCTTTGGAGGCTCCAGGCAGCTCCAGCTCCAAGCCTGGTCTGTGCCAAGCAAAGGACCCCCGTCCCCTCCAGGGCATCCCTGAGCCCGGCAGATCCAAGGATACAAGAGGCTGGAGCGAGGAAAAGGCACCAAAATCCTCCCCTGGGGAAACGGGAGCAGGGAATGCTCACCACCTGGAACCTGCAGCTCTTGGAAAGGGGGCAATTCCCGCTGCTCCACGTCCCAAATTTCCCGCGGAAGGCGGGGATTATCTCTGGGAGAGGGTCTTAATGCTCTTGTCCAGGTTGCTGGAATTGGGGGGCAGGGGGGGCTCATCCCGGAGAAAAGGAGGCTCAGGGGGGACCTTCTGGCTCTGGAATTCCCTGATGGGAAGGGGGAGCCCGGGGAGGGGGGGTCGGGCTCTGCTCCCAGGGAACAAGGGACAGGAGGAGGAGGAGGAGGAGGAAGAGGAGGAGGGGAAGTTGTGCGTGCGAGCCCCGGGGCTGCCGCTGCAGCAGAGCCCGGCTTAACCGCGGCGAGGGCCGGGCGGGCTCAGCAGAGCCCGGGTTTAACCACAGCCCCACCTGGGGGGGCGTTTTGCAGCTCAGCTGAGCCCGCGGTTGCCGCAGTTCGAGATGCTCCGGGCGCTCAACCCCCCGCCCGGTGCAGCTCAGAACCCCCCCGGCCCCGCAGCAGCGGGGTGGGAAACGGGGGAAGGGGGAGGGAAGGAAGGAGGTGACACTCTCCTGGTCTCCCAGAGAAGGGTGTCGAGACGGGAGGCACAGACATCACGGAATCGTGGGACGTCCTGAGTGGGAACAACCCACAAGGATTGCCCAGTCCAACCCCTGCCCCTGCACAGACACCCCGAGGATCCCACCCTGTCCCTCTCCTGGAGCTCTGGCAGCTTTGGGGCCGTGCCCGCTGCCCTGGGGAGCCTGGGCAGTGCCCAAACACCCTCCTAAAATCCAGCCTAACCCTCCCCGGCACAACTTCAGCCGTTCCTTCTGCTCCTGTCGCTTCTCACCCAGGGCAGGGATCGGAGCTGCCCCTCCTGAGGAAGCCGCAGCCCCCTGAGCTCTCCCCTCAGCCCGAACAGACCAAACTGCAGCCAGAAGATGCTCCAGGGCCGAGCTGGACCCCAAACCCGGGCTTTTCCCAGCTCCCACCGCACACAAATTGCTCTTTTTTGGGAAAAAGACCCTCAGCCTCCAGCAGCTCCCCTGAAACCAGAGGGAAAAGTTGCTGCGTTTGTCCGGCAGAGGGATTTGACCTCAGAAAGCCGCGTTCCTGGGCGCGGGAAAGGTCACGGCCACGGGCATTGTTGAGCCAGGAAGTGGCTACTTTCGGTCAAACCCCCCCCGTGCCCAAAATGCTGCCCGGGGAAGGGGGAACTGCCCCCCGCCTGAGAGCCGGCCCTGGGCAGGGTGGGGTGCGGAGAACTGAGGAAAAGCCCCCC